GAACTGCCTTTCAAGGGAGATGATGTAACAACAAAGATATTTCGACGTTAAACACAGGCCGTGAAAAGAACATACAATGTCTCAAGACTAATGATTGTCTACGGGACGTTTCGTTGTCTCGCACGCACTAATCTGGATCGAAAAGAGGTTAGTGTTATCTCCAACTGTATCTGTTCATTTTAATGTACCTACGATCAGTGGTACATTGAAAGGACAGAACATCGTCTTCTATGAACCAGAATGTGTGATCATATTTCGAAACACTTTGGTCTTTGCGGACGGAAACTATCATCCAGTGTAAATGTACATCATGTGTTAGATTCCAGTCACAAGGTAGACGCACCCAAAGCGTTACAAGTCGTTACGAGACCTCGAATTTCAAGGACTTTGCGACCGCAATTTTGTGTTCAAAAAACATTTGTGACGCAACTATTGCCGTGGTAGCGATGTCGCATCTCACTTGATATGGCCCTACTGTAGCTGACATGACCTTCCCTCTCCTTCCATCCACCCAATTCACCACGTCGCTTGAACCAATTTACCTCCATATCAACTTTTGTCTTCTAACTTGACCTCAACCCCTAACCAAACACAAATTAAGCAATTCATTTGTCCACCACCTTGTTCAAATGACTCATTTCAACTCTTATGTTTCTTCGTTTTACATGATAAATGTAAAAAGGCAAGTTTACAATCAAACTGTAAACTTGCCTTGAGAAAGGTTACCCACGGTAACCGAAACGTCAGCAAATGCAATTCTCTACCGACATTGCTGTGTTAATAACATTATAACATTCACATTAAAACTGAAACTGCCTTCATATATGTTTACCTTGTAATAATGTTTACTGTTTTTTGATCTTATGACGACCTGAATTTTGTGCCCACCGGTTTGAACTTCACTCCTCTTTCAAAGGTGTAACTGAATTGAAAAACGATTGTAAATGCATTTGTCCTGCAGTTTGATGAACTAATTGTTCCCACTGCCTATTTTCACGGATAGAAGTGCGAGGCGTTGAGATGAGCCAGTGACACACGACGACTACTCATCACGGGAAGTTTGTAATAATTGCATTGACTGAAACATTCTCGATAAATTTGATAATGCATGCGTATCGTTGTGCGATGGAAATATTCCGCTGGTTGCAATCGATATTCAATGGTCCGGAATGAGGTAAGGTAACCAGGAGGCATGCACTGAACATAGGGATTTGTGATTTCAGAAGCTTCAAACGTAGAACGTACGTGAGATACGATGAACCCTATGGAAAACGTAGAATCACGCGTAGCGAAGTAAGATCCTCGCACAAATATCAGGACAACTTTTTCATAGAGACCACTGCCATTCGCTAACCTTGATACGGTCCACTGAGGTTTCGATATTTATGTGTTCTAAAACAAGCTCCAGTCACAAAGCACCAGAAAATACTTTATTTCTGTTCTTAGTCGTGGATGAACTCAACAACCCGTATCCCCGCAAAGTCAGTCACAAGGAAAACAATACGTGACAACACGTGGATTGTTCAATTTATATTTCGGATATAACTCATGTATTTGATACACGTCTGAGTTCAAACTGTATGCCAAGTAAATCGCGGTACGATGATCTCCAAAAGAAAGAGAAAGTTTCTTGATTTGTTTTCGGAAATACACAACCGCAGCTTTCATCTGACCAAAGCCTAGGCAGCTAGGTAGCGGGGCAATGTGTGAAAACCGCAATCCATTGGGGACTAGTGTCCATCAAATCATACGCCCTTTGGTCGGGGTCAAACGTCCAAGGTGCCCAATACACCTCGATACCCAATTGAGTCGGTGAGCGCTACTTCAACCACCGAGGTGTGAGTGAGTGTGGTTGTTTTGGAATCACGGAGTTTAGCCAACTCCCCGAGTTAAACTGCCAGGGGCTCATCGACCCGGATTTGGGCTTTTCGTCCTCTCACTTTGATGGGAAAACAACTCCATCACGAGAAGGCAGTGAGTAGGGCTTCTTCAACAGAGGCTATTTGAGACGTTTATTTGTATGGGACGGAAAGAATGACCTTCCTCAATCCAAGCCACCCACCTCTACCATACTGAGGTTTTTATATCAGAACCCTGAGAGGTTGGTATTACAACTTTGTGTGGTGCTTACCGAAGTTCTCTAACGCCACATTTAGTTTTCGTACAACCCACTTAGAATGTCTGCAGTTTTCTTCTTGTCCATCTCATGAGCGATTCGAAATCTTGATCGAGAAAACCTCACCAAACGTTTTGATTTTAATAAATCAATGTCAATAACAACACCCCGAGATTTCCAGTGGAATACATTTGTATTTCCATCTGAATCATCTAATTCACATCTTGTCTCTCTAAGCTCTTTTACCAGTTTTCTGTTTACCCTAATGACAGAAATCAATACAGCAGTATGATCACTTTCTGCTCCAAACCACTTTCCGAGTTTGAAAAATCTAAAAGTTAACGTTCAAAGCTCACTATTTTGAATAATATCATCTCAATGCAATGGCGTATTTCGTTGATGTATCATTTTTAGCCGAAATCAAGATATCAACGTTTTATCATTCTCTGTGTGATGTTCTCCGATATCGTCATCGATTAATTACCGAGTAGTGCGATTTTTTATGTGATCGTTGTTTGTCGCCAGAATGAGCTGGCAGCCCATGATGCGTATTGTGATGAAATGTTTGCGAACCACTGTTACACAACTGAACACGAAACTGTGCTATGGGAATGGAGTTATGTCAGTGGATATTTTCAAGTGTTTATAGCAGCCGTTGGTTTGTACGTGTCTACCGTCAATATGCTTAGCCAAGAAACGATGTATGGTAGGATGAATAGCAGACACAGTTGGTGTTCAAACAGCCCGGGTATAAACCCATCCGAATATGGTGAAAAATTGATACCCATTGTTTGCTGTGTCTATGTATTGTAGGGGGAACACATAGGTCGCAAGATGTTTATATTGGGTTGATCAATCTTAGGGGATGGATGTGTACCGAAGGACGTGAACTTCTCCAGTTAGGGACAAAATGTCACCTCCCTGGCATGTAAACTAACCGCGTCATTGACGTTCGGATGTGAAAAACCGGATGATGTAATCGCATTAGTACCGCCTCACTCATTGTCCAAAGCTTTCCATTGCAGTTACGCAACAGGGGATTGGAAGGGAAAGTAGGTTCAGTAGCATGTCGGATTCTCCTCAGGTGTTTCACATCACATGACCCGAGATCTCAGCGACCGCCTGCCTATCGCGTATGGGTTACTTCATAAAATTTTCCAACAACTTTGCTGGGTGTTCAGTTATTCGTTGCGGTAGGTGATGGCCGCCTATGACTGCAACCGCAGATGGGCTAGCGTGCATGCAGTGTGTGTGGGCGACAGAACTGGATTTTAAACCATATTTAAGCTTGTTCC